GCTGTACTGCGATGCAAAAACCGAGTGCGTGGCAAAATATTTTTCCAAAATTACACTTTGGGCTTGCTGAAAAATATCTGATTCATGTTTTTTAAGCATTAACTCAACATATATATACAAACAAAGCTGCACTTTTTGACACTTTTTTAAAAATTGTTTTTGGGTTTTGTTTTGTTTTTTGCACATTTAATCTATAATTGAAGTCAAAGTTAAATTAAGGTTGCATGTTTACAGTAAAGCAGTAAGCCTTCTCTGCACACAGTATTGCTTTGTGGTTATGCTAAATGTGAATGGAATCTAATGTTTGATGATGTTTTGTTTGGGCTAAATTTCCACATAGTGTCTGCCGCATTACCAATAATGAAATACAGACAAAGATCAACTGTGCTGGTCTTATTTCTTTGAAAAAGACAAATTATTCCATTCAGCTCTTTGCAACAGTAAGACTGAAAGTATCAGCATCTGTCACTGATGTCATCTGAGTGCGTATGCGTGTGTGAATGAGAGAGAGAAAAAGGCAAAATAGGCAAAAACAGCCTGAATGTTTGCAGCTGCAGGCTCAGCACCAAATCTCATCAATCAATTTGTGGTTTTTGCCAGTTTTTTAGGCACACCAACCAAATACCACAAATGCAGAATTCCTGCAGTATGTTTGTTAGTTTTTAATCAGACTTTAGATTGTGTTGCTGATTACATTTGTTGTGTTATATTGGGGTTTTTTTTGTTTTCATTTACATAAATGAGAAAAACTAAATGATATTGAAATTTGCAATGGGCTGCTTAGCCTGCATGGGTTGTCTGATTTGCAATAGCACTTATGAGGTTTGCAATAAAATGTATTCTTTTTCCCCCCAGATTTTTTTCAGTGCAAGAATTCACCTGTCTTATTTTCTGCTTTTCAGTCCCTTTTAGGGACTTATAGGAGGGCGGCTGAATGTGAACATCAGGACACATATATAATTATGTTGCGCATAGACTTCACATGCAGATGTTTCATAACAAAACAGCAACAGTTTCCCAGCACAGAAGCCCCTCGGTGCTGAAAGCTAAACACACTTCTCTACTCCTTGTGCACCCACAATTTCACACCAACCCACTCCACTCAGCTTGCAGATGACACCACAGGGTTGCACATAATTGTCATGAGGCTGTTTACAGGCATGATTTGCAAAGTGACTGATGTTGTTCCATCAATAATCCGGCGTTTAACACCTCCAAAACAAAAGCTTCAGCAGACAGAAAGAGAATCCTGCTCCACTGAACAAAGGTGGAGACAATGTGGAAAATGTTCCAACTTTAAATTCCTCAGCACAAACAGGACTTTAAGAAAACCGTGCAGAGCTGTATCTTAAGCACAGTGAGGAGAAACAAGCTGACCAAACAGCTGCTGGTGTCATTCTACTCCACTATGGCATTTTGGTGTGAAATACCATCTTCACTGGAGATGACAAAAAGGCTGTTGACACAAACGAAACATCAGAAAAGAAAACCACTGTCATTCAGCTAGAAGCACAGCTACAAGTCGTGCCACAAACAACAACAAGGACTCTTCTCATCCTGGCAACCACCTTTTCCTTCTGTTGCCACTTGGATGGTGCTAGAGATCAATAAAGGCCTGCATTAAATTGCACACTGCCGCCACACACAGCATCCTTGTGTAATATCGCCAGGGACTTCACAGGGGATATTTGTGTGTATGTTCATAAATTCATAAATGTGTATGGTGTGTGTGGATTTTAACTTATACCTGTCCTATTTTTCTAATTTCTATGCCTAGATTCGTTTATATATTTTTTAATTTTGTTAAAGCAAGGCTTTTTTAGAAGTTGCTTGAAGTTTTTCTGCTTAATGTGTCTCACTTGTGCACGGCTCAGGAAGACGCTCGTTATCTGTAGAAACACAAATAAAGGCATTCAGTTTTATTCTGTTTTGTTCGAAAAGTAGATACAACAGATGTTAAACACATTTCACATAACTAAATCCTAGTGAGTGCCATTCTCTCCAACTTCTGATTTCTCCTCACCTGGCATTTAACTTTTAATTGAAAATTACTTTTAGATATATTGAAACATTTAATGCTCTGTGGACTCCTTTAAGAACTAGGCTTAGCCAGGCCTTCTATTGATGTTCTTTAGTTATTATTTGTACAACAGTTTTTTTTTTGTTCTCTATTACTTTTAACAGTTTTAATGTTCTTTTTAATTGTGATTATTCCCGGTTTTCTGTATAAAGCGCTTTAAATAAACTTAACTTACCTATTTACTCGGGTATCGACAGGCCTATCTCCCCCTACTGGGTAAAATTCGTAGTAAAAAGTTGCAAAGACAACAATAAAACTCTTCCTTTGCGCTTCTCTACAGACAACACGGTACTGCCGCGTTGAATTATGGGACACAGAGTAAAGATGGAAGCCGCCACACAGAGCATGTCGAAGCGTCAATAACAAACATTTTAAAGCGTTACATGTTCGTAAGTGATCCTTGGCTACGATATAAACAAAGGACTCGAGTGGCATACGATTCTGAGCACGCGTGGAAACAGGTAATGGTCGAAACACTGACTTCGATGTAAAGTGCTAGCTGAAGCTAAAGCTAAGGGTCACCGTAAAGATGGTTAAAGAAACTGATGCCGTGTTTAAAGAAGGAAAAGTAAACTTTAAAAAATACTCTGAATTTTATGAGCGTTGACTTCAGGTTTCATCTAAATGATCTGTTAACAACTCCTGGCAGAAAACTGTGGACATGTCTCTGCTGGGAGGTCTGCTGAGAGCTGGGGCGTCCTACTGTCAGTCTGCTGGGACGCTGCTGCACACAGTCAGGACCATTTCTACAGGTGAGTTGTCTCGCTGGTTCCAGTAGCAACTGGTAACCTGAACCGGTCCGGACTTAGTATTGTTACTCAGGAAGTAAAGCAAGTCGTCTACTTCTCGGAAGATTTCTGGTTTCACCCCTGATTGCTTCGGCCAAAGTATCCTTGGAAATAAGACAGAATGCACTTGGCGCAGATTAAAACATGTTTGTACGAATGTC